TTAGCCTGTATTTCGCTGCGTGCAGAGCCGATCGTGCACTGGTCTGCCTCTTTCTGCTGCCTCCTTGCACCAGTCTGAGCTCTCTTGAGGCTATTGCACAGTCAGCTGATGTGAATTGTGCAATTTCCTTATAGATTCGCGGATTTAATCGTTGGCTTGTAACTTGCCAACCGTCGCGCCAACCAAGCTTCCTCCTTCAGGTCGCGCTGCCGATCAACCTACCAGCTTCATCTAGTTATAGCTTTGTCAACAGTTGTTGCTACTACCGCGTCATTGATCTTGTTTTGTGGGAAAGACCATATCTGTTGTAATTTTTTTTATTTTTCTCACTAACTGATATGCTTTCTCTCTCTAGTCTAACTTAAACCCGAGCTCTGATACTACTTATTGAGAAAATTAAGCCCTGAACTATGCATAATTACACCAAAATAAAAGTAGAAAGAAAAGAACTCAAGATTTTAATGTGGTTCTTCGGCACTGTGCCTACATCCATGGGCAAAACCGACAAGAAAGTATTTCACTATAATCAAATAAGAGTATATCACCAATAAGTTAACAAATCTATTTATAGAGAGACTGACAGAGTTTTTTTTAAAAAAAAAAAAATTAGTAGGATATACATCAAATATTTTTTATGATAAATACAAAAATATTTCCAAAAAATACACAAAACACCCACTAGGATAAACATAAGCTATCATCTAAAATATAGATAAATATCACCAAAATTCAAACTACATCAACAGAAGAACTACTTGGTCTTGAGTTACTTTATCTTAATGCAATTGGTGTAATATTTTATCTTGCTAAAAATATATAATTTAATATAGTATTTTCTGTAAATTATTAGCAATATATTATTTTGTCATCTATAAGAAGATATAGGAATATAGTTAAATGTATATTCAAATATCTCTGAATAACCATAGACATAAATAAATTTATTTTATTTAAAGGATAAAAACAACAATTAATTGGTTGTGCAAATGCAAGTTATTTATTTTATCTATATAAATTTATATCTCAGTCATATTTTTTCCTCATATATGGTGATACAGTAATATTATAACAGTGAATAAACTAATATAGTTTTACTTGCTGTATATGAAGCAAGTCAAACATATATATAGTTGAGATTGATGATTCAGCATATTAAATAGACATGTGGTCTACCTAATACAAGGAATGTACTAACACTTTTTTATGAGGATAATAGTACATGCATAGCTCAATTAAGAGAATGATACATTAATGATGATTGAATAAAACATATTTTATCAAAGATTCTTTTTATGCATGATCTATAAAAGAACGGTGATATTGAAGTTCAACAAATACATTTGAATAATTTGTCCGTTCTATTTACCAAATCATTATCCACTATTAATTCGAAAAATTAATATGCAATATCGGTACTTGTTTGCTGTGAGAAATAAAATAACAATTTTTATTGTGGAGGAATATGTTGTATTCTCTTTTACTTGACCAAAGTTATCTTATTGAGTTTTTTTGGTTAGATTTTTAACGAGACAACTCTTCTATTTTAAAATGGATATCCAAAGGAGAGTATTATGAAATTTTCAAATTTTACAGGTTATGGATGCCTATACTTCTTCACGTTCTAATCCTCTTCCCTTGACATAATTTCCTAATTATTTGTTATTTATTTTTAATTTAATTATCAATCTCATATATTCCTATAAAAATAAGTTGTAATAAGGGTTGTTATATAATGAATTTGAAGAAAACCTTCTTGACTATCTTTTTATAACTTATTTATTTATGTATTTTTATTACATTGTTATCATACATTCTTAAAATTTATGAAAAATATTTAATATTTATTATCATAATTAAGAACATTTTATTAGTAATCAAATTTTTATTTTGTTTTATTGCTGATTAACAAATATTTTTATGAAACTTTTAAAAATTTATAAATTTATTTTTTATGAAATATTATATAGTTAAGTTATTTTACAAAATATTATCTAAATAAGTCGTTGTTCTTGTAAGTTTAATATACCTTGTTTTACTTAAAACGTACATATTTTTAATTGATTGTGTGGACCGATCATAATTTTTATCATTAATTAAAAACACAAAAAAAAAAAAAAAATTCATCGTTGTTTAAACTAAGATTTTATATAAATGTCACCTACACTTTTGGCAGAATAATTTTGTCCTAATTAAAAAATTAATATATTAATATCTTATATTATATAAACCAATTTACAATAATATCACCCTTTTTATAACATTAATAAATACATTATTTAATTAAAAAAAAAACCATGTGCACGTTTTCTTAATTCTTTCTTGTTTAAAGTTTTGCTTTGACTAAAAGGAGCCAAATTACAACACTCCAGCCAGCACCCCCTATTTTTAATTATTAAAAACAAAATTGAAAATTCGCCTTCTCGTTTCATACTCCCCTCTTCATCCGAGAGCCGTTCATTGACTGACAACTAAGCGCGTCAAAGTGCCACGTGGTAACATCCTAACGCTGGTCGCCTACTGTAACACCCCCGACTCCCGCCTATAAGTACAACTTCCTCCCTACCATTCCATTTCAACTTCATTCGACGTTTACTTCTCCATTTCCTTCTCCATTTTGTTTCACGATAACGTAATCCTTTTTCTTCTTTCCAACAGTTAAGAGTTTTAAAGTTTCGTGATCATGCCTGCGGGTGGATTCTCCTCCGTGCCGCCATCGGGTGTGGAGTTCGAGGCCAAGATCACTCCCATCGTCGTCCTTTCCTGTATAATGGCTGCCACTGGCGGCCTCATGTTCGGTTATGATGTTGGTGTCTCTGGTAATTAGTCCTTTTACATCCTGATCTCTTGATCTGATCTCCTTTATCTCCACAATATCAATATATATATGCGCATTTATCTATAATTGCATTTGTGAATGCATAAACCATTAGTCCCGTGGAGAGGAAGCATTGTTCGATCACGGTTTCGAGTTTTAAAGTAATTTGTCTTTCGTCAGAAGAAACTGCTTTGGTCAACGCCTATTTCAAAATTTCATACCAAACAGTTCTTTGAAAAGCTCTTTCTCTCTCTCTCTCGTATATAATATAATAGTATATATATATATATATATATATTGTGTATATGATATGTATGTTTATAATTAACACAATCATGTCTACTGTGTCTTACAAGTAATTTCCCTTTTTCAATTTATGCAACTAAAACTGGTATTTTCTTAGCTCTATTTCTGTGTTTCAACTTCCAAGGTCATTCGTAAACCTAGTCTAAAATCGACATGGATAAACCATTATTGACGTTAGAGTCATTTGTTTTTGGTCGAAGAAAAGCTGTTTAATAAGTGCTGATTAATTTATTTAACTTTTTATTAGTTAAGGAAGGAGGAAAATTATAAGTTTTAGAATTGAGAATTTGACAAGAAAATGAGAGGGAATAGACGACTTTCTCCCGCCAAACTGGAATCTCTGGTCAGCTTCTGTTGATCAGTGTGAAAGTATTAAAATAGGCATGGTTAAGAAATAAAGCGTAGGGGTATTATAGGGATTTCAATTAATTTTATCGTCGTCACTCCGTTGACGAATAGAGCGTCGGTGGAGTCCGGCCGTTGATCTGTTTCTCTGACCAATAGAATTCACTCTCTCTCTCTCTAGCTGTTCATCTTTTTAATTGGCCATGATTCTACAGCTACCTCCTTCTGATTTAATTAATAGATAATATAAAATATATTTTATTTTATTTATTTTTTAATTAATTAATATTGATTTCATCCCGATGTTATCTGAAAGAATCACAAGCTTTAATTATTTGATATCATAATCTTTCCTGATTCATTGTGTGGATATTATAACTTTTTCTGGATGGCGTAATCCACATATCATACTTTAAATTACAAAATCCCTGTTTAATCGAAATCAAGTACGATTATAACTAAATGTTCTAAAATAGCATTTACCAATATGGAAAAAAGCACCTTTCGAAGTTTCCAGTTTCAGAGCCCGTGTTGATTAACTTTATGTTTTGCCTTTTTGGGGCAGGAACTGAATACTATTTTGCCCAAAAATAAGAAAAATATTGCGGGCATGTACCTGCCAAATAGTTTGGTGCAATTTTGTTAAAGGGAGTTGTCAACATAAAGCATGAAGTTTGCATGAGTTCATTTCTCTTTTCAGTTGGTTACTGGCAGTTATGATATTCAGTTGGAGAAAGTTGCTTTTAATTATGTAACTTTAGGCTATGTTGGGAAGAAATTAAATTAACCTAGTTTCTAGAATTCATTTGAATATTCAGTTAGTTTAATTACCATTAAGGGAAAATTCTATTAAAATTAATGAAATTGAAAATATATTCATTTAATTCAACTTTAAAATTTCCTAAAAATTTAATTTTTGTCAACTAGAAGATGTGACGAAGAAATAATTAGCAATTAATTAATATATGTGAATTTTGGTGGGCATGTCAAATTTCAGGAGGTGTAACATCAATGCCGGATTTCTTGAAAAAATTCTTCCCAGTGGTGTATCATAGGACGAAACAGGATGCGGAGCTGGATAGCAATTATTGCAAGTACGACAATCAAGGCCTACAACTCTTCACATCGTCGCTGTACCTAGCCGGCTTAACGGCCACCTTCTTTGCCTCCTACACTACCAGAATGTTCGGCCGGAGGCCTTCCATGCTCATTGCTGGCTTTTTCTTCATCGTCGGCGTCGTCCTCAATGCTGCAGCCCAAGACCTTGCTATGCTCATTATTGGAAGGATATTACTTGGTTGTGGGGTCGGTTTCGCTAATCAGGTATGTAATGTCCATAAAATTTATTTTTAATTCTTATAATTTAAGTTAATTCTTATAATTGTGGGATCGAAATCACACTTTTATATATATATATATATATATATATAAAGAAGGTTGGTTTTTATATGTGAATTTTGTTATTAATTAAAACTTAATTAATAGTTTATTTTTACATTTCCTTTTATAAGAATGTGAGTTAGAAATTGAATTATATTTTTGTATATGATTGATTATATTGATAGTGGTGTATAAATATTATTAGTTAAGAAATATATAAATTTACAGTCAAAAAATAAATCTTTATCTTATTTTGACTGATGATAACTTGAAAAGATTAAGGGTAATTATAGCGGTATTAAACTGGTTAGCTATTTAACTTCTTTGATGACAATTAGTAATATCCTAATTTGATCAAATATAAAATTCTCACCTCAAGATCTGTCGAATAAGCTTGTCGAATAAACCTGTCGACGTGCTTTCTTACACGGTGGGTGTACCAACTGGTGGAAAGAAGTGTTCCTGATCAATTAAATGAGAAACTGTGATAGATATATAAGCAAGTGTTTGACTTATCCCAGATGTGATTGAGACATTTGTCATCCTTTTCTGACTTTAATTTGAGAAGCCATATATATCGTACGATAAAAGACGTCAAAGCGTGGAGTAGATATTGAGAAAGTTCAATGAAAGCTCATTTCTTAGGACTTGCCACCTTGCTTTAAGAACCATTTTTTTTTTTTTTTTTAATTAATTCATTGTTGGAGACGTGATTCTCCAATTTCCAAATTTCTACTCTGTCCTCTTGTAATACTAATTAAAATATTACTGCTGCGGCGTGTGTATGACCCAAGGGGGGTGACACACTGAGACTGGCTATCTACATATCTCTTGCTAAAATGTATATATAGTTAAAACATCATGAACTTGTTTTTATTTCATCATTTTGAATGTTGAACTTATGCAGATATTTTCCTGATGTATAACTATTTCACTATAGTTAATTCAATATGCTTGAAACAGGCAGTGCCATTGTTCTTATCAGAGATTGCACCTACAAGAATTCGCGGAGGATTAAACATACTCTTCCAACTTAATGTCACTATCGGCATCCTTTTCGCCAATCTTGTCAATTACGGGACTGCAAAGTAAGTTGATTCTCTCAAAACACCGTTTCCAAATTCTTTTATTCGCTTCCACCCACAACAAAACAAACAACGCTATTTTAATAACCAGTAATGAAACCATTTTTTCAAAGTGATTATTATTTTTACGGATATTTAAGTTTAATTGTTTAATATGTACGTCAGTATAATTGTTGCTGATTTTCAGTCTGACCGTACACGTGCCGTGCGGCTACATTATATCACCTTAGTTAATAGGTTTATGTGCCAACTATTTTATTTATTTATTACAATTTATATCCATTTATTTTTTGAGAGGTAATTGGTAGTCCGTATTGACTTATTTATTCTTTTGTTTATTCAACGGCTGCGTGTTTGACTTATTTATTATTGTTATACCTGACGATGCGGATATATATATAATCTGGACAGCCGAATATTAGATTTATAAATAATTTAATAAAATACTTTATTCTATCAAAACATGATAATATATCAGGCTCTTATTTACTAAATAAAATCATTCTTATAGAAAGTCCAACATCTCGTAATTCATTATAAAAAAGATAAATATCAAAAGAATAAGATTTTTAACATGGAGATTGGTTTCACCTTGGGCACGGTGGAAGAGGCCCAAGGGCCGGTATTAAGTGTTCTTTACTAATTGTCAGGCCTTTGTTTATGTGGTAAAAAGCCAATATATATATATATATATATATATATATATATAGATTGTTCCTTTTTGGTGTCTGAAAGTTTGCCTTCTAGTGTGAATATTTCATCATTTTTGTAGCCCATGTATGCAAAGTTGGGAGAAGATTAATATTTTATTGCCCTGTACCAGTAATGAAGACTGATATAACATTGGTTTGGGTTATGCCACAGGATTGAGGGAGGGTGGGGTTGGAGAGTATCATTGGGGTTGGCCGGCATTCCAGCAGTTCTCCTAACCTTGGGGGCCCTCCTGGTAGTGGAAACTCCCAACAGCCTGATCGAGCGTGGCCTCCTCGATGAAGGAAAAGCTGTGCTCAGGAAGATCCGCGGCACCGAGAAAATCGAGCCCGAATTCTTGGAGCTCGTTGAAGCCAGCCGTGCTGCTAAACAAGTCAAGCACCCTTTCAGGAATCTCCTTAAGAGACGAAACAGACCCCAACTGGTTATTGCAGTCGCCTTACAGGTCCCTCGTCTTTTCCTTCTTTATTTTCCCCATATGTATGCAATTGATATTCATGTCTTAATTATATATAATATATTGGTGTTTTCCAAACAGATTTTCCAGCAACTCACCGGCATCAACGCAATCATGTTCTACGCCCCAGTCCTATTCGACACTTTAGGATTTCATAGTGACGCTGCCCTTTACTCAGCAGTGATTACAGGTGCTGTAAACGTTCTATCCACCGTTGTTTCTATCTACTCAGTGGACAAAGTGGGTCGGCGCATGCTTCTGCTTGAAGCCGGTGTGCAAATGTTTTTCTCTCAACTTGTTATAGCAGTACTACTAGGAATCAAGGTGAAAGACCACTCTAATAATCTATCCCAAGGTTTCGCCATCTTGGTGGTTGTGATGGTTTGCACTTTCGTTTCTGCTTTTGCATGGTCTTGGGGTCCTCTTGGTTGGCTCATACCAAGTGAAACTTTCCCACTTGAGACTCGCTCCGCCGGACAGAGTATCACTGTTTGTGTCAACTTGGTCTTCACTTTTGCCATAGCTCAGGCCTTTCTTTCTATGCTCTGTCATTTAAAGTTCGGCATATTCATCTTCTTCTCTGGCTGGGTGTTGATCATGTCAATCTTTGTTCTGTTTCTGCTCCCGGAGACTAAAAATATTCCGATTGAGGAGATGACGGAGAGAGTTTGGAAACAACATTGGTTCTGGAAGAGATTTATGGATGAGGACATTCATTACCCCCACCCACACCCACAAAACGGTGTCGCTTCTAACAAAAAGTGGCATGTCAATTCCTTTGATCCTGCTTCCCAATTGTAAGATCTTAATTAATTATTGCCGAATAGTTAGGAATATATAGACAGGGAAAAAAAGAATGAAAAGGAAAGATAGGTGCCCCATGTAATTTTGTCTTGCGTTTATGTATTCGCCACAATTTGATGTTCTTTGTAATTCAAATCGATCAGTTTCGATCTGTAGTATGATCGGCAAGGTTAACACTGAAGATGAAGTCAGAGCTCTTAACCCAATCCTTCTTCCCCTGGCTAATCTTCAAATTAACTTGAGTAAATATGACCCCTTCATTGAGGAATCTGTTTTGAAAGAGAAATGATAAAATATAATACTTTAATCCGACCAAAAAAAGGAAGTCGAAGGCAAGAAATAGGTGGAAGAACATAATGAATCACCGAACTGAAAGTCCACCGCTCTGCTATGCTGATTATTTGAATTTTTTACACATGGGAGGAAATGCTCCAAATGGGGGATTAGGCTGGTTGGTATTAAAAACACATTTCCTAAACTAATCATCAAGTTTGGGCCATGGACCATCAACAACTAGGCTGACAATCAGGGGATGTCCACCCACGTTAGTGCTGCAATTTAAGTTTAAAACCATTACGATTTCTTATTTTATTTGGTTAAAAAAAAAAAGAAGATAATCATGACTCGTGGGAATAGAAAAATAATGGGTGGTTTTGATTAGGGAAGAGATTAATTAAAATTTGTGGGGAATACAAGTAGATGTAGATGGAGATGAATTTGCATAACGTGGGGTAGGAGAGAGTAGCAGGAAAGCAATAATGTTTTTGTCATTTAAGGGGAAATAAATTATGATATTTCAACCAAAAACGAAACATAATTGAAGTGTTATTGAGGACAAATGATGAAGGAGAGTCATGATGGATGGCATTCCCCCTTTTGCCTATAGAAAATGAAACTCCATCCGCACCACCCCCAACTGCAAATATATACATTTGTTTCTTTTCTTTTTCTCCATTCCCAAATTTTCTTTTCTTTATACCCACGAGACGAAAAGAATACTACTAAGACAAGCACTCACCGCTGCTATTTTTTTTTTTTTTTTATAAAATTGAACCCATCAAAAATAAAAAGTAAAGAGAGTTTAAAAAATTTTAGTTGTCTTGTTACTTCATCCTTATTACAAATATGTGGATTTATTTCATCATATTAAAAAAATAATAATAATTTATATTTTTTTATATTTTTGATTAGTTTGTATATATTTTTTTTAATTAATAAAAATAAAAAGTGAACTTGGTGACTTAATTTTTCTGAAATAAAAAAACTAATACAAAAAATTGCTTAGAAGAAATGCGTGTTAAAGAAAGGGGGACCAGACCAAACCAAACCAAATGATGAATTGACGCACACTTACACCTCAACAATCAATAAAGGTCCACTCCAAAAGACTTATTTATAAACGCCTGCAGACACCCGAGTCCTTTCAATTCCCTCTCTCTCTCTCTCTCTCTCTCTCTCTTTTCTCGCATAGCTAAGCTCATGGCTTTGGTGGTGGTATTGCTAATTGCCATGGCCATGGTGCAGTTGTCACATGCAGCCGTTTACAAGGTTGGGGATTCAGCTGGATGGACCATCATTGGCAATGTTGACTACAAACAGTGGGCTGCTACCAAGAATTTCAAAGTTGGTGACACTATCAGTAAGTCTCATTTCCTTTTCTTCTTCTTTCTTTATTTCTTGTTTTGGGGTAATCAATCATATAACAGATACTTAATTTCTTGATTTGAACCCAATTCAATCTTCTCTACATCCCTAATTTGTATACTCTTTTTTTTTTTTTTTTTTTTTTTTTTTTCCCGCCTTGATCTGCTGAGAATCTCAATCTTCTATTTTATTCTATAAAATGTGTGTGTGTGTGTGTATTCTTCCTACCCAATTATCTGTCAATTCTCAGTTTTCTCTAATTATTACTGCCTTCTTCACTAAAACCCTAGTGGCCCTACTACTGTTTCTCTTTGGTTGGTAAATTTTAATTTTCTGGATTTTCTTTCAAGGTTATTTTATCTTCAGTGGTCCAAGTTTCACTTGGTTTGGGCATCATGTTCCCTCATTTTATTTTCATCTATCTTTTATGTTTATTTAATTTTTTATGGACCCGGATATGTAGAAGTTTTAAAAAGTAAAAAATATAATATTCTGAAACATGTAAGACATTATAATGCATGAAAAGAAAGGAATTGGCTATTCTTGATTGGGTTGTAAAAGTTATTTTGAAAGTACCAAGAATTTCTAAACTTTTGTCTGGTTTGTTTTGATGGTTTGTAAATTCTTGGAACTTGGTAAACCCTAGTTATGGCTTCTCTATCTTTTTGTTTTTGTTTTCCATTTTCAATCTAACATCACGCGGTCTCCAGCAATTGTAGGTATGATAGAAACTTTTTCTTTTAGTGTAGCATTGATGGAAAAGGTATCTTTTTCTTCTGTGCTTTCATTTTGGAATATCCATTCATCAATCCACCCATTAGCGCTAAAGCAGGCTAGAACTGTGAACCCATTATATCAATCTTTATCTGCATAAATTATGATTACCCACCCCCCCCCAAAAAAAAAAAGAAGAAAGAGGCAAATGCAGCAAGTTTTCAAGTGAAGGAGCCGATGATTTGGGATCTGCCAATGCTAATTAATATTGTAATGATGTTTTATTGTGGGGACAGTTTTTCAATACAATGCTCAATTTCACAATGTGATGCGGGTGAATCATACCATGTATAAAGCTTGCAATGCCTCGGCTCCATTGGCAACTTTTACCACTGGCAGAGACTCCATCAATATAACCACTCACGGCCACCATTACTTTCTGTGCGGTGTTCCTGGCCACTGCCAGGCCGGCCAGAAGGTTGACATCAATGTCATTCGAGCTTCTGCGATGTCTCCAACTCCCTCCATGGAGTCTTCCCCTTCCCTTGTCCCTGCACTTGCTGCTTCTGCACCTTCACCCAATAATGCTCCTTCTTTCAAGGGTAGCCTAATTGCCCTCACTATTCTCGGTGTCTTCGTAATTTATGTCCTGGGTCTTGCTTAAACACCTTGTTGTTAGCCTTGTGTAGCCAGCTATTGTGGGTGTTTTGAATTACCTCCCAGCCAACTCATCATAATTTTGTACTCTTTCTTTAGAATTTAATAAACAATATTTTCATTGTTTATCTGACATTACCTTCAAATTACTTTCTTTCAGTATATAATTCTAAAGAAAGGTGCAAGTGCTGATAGAATGTATTCTATCATTGTCCTGCTGTCACAGATTGATCTGAATTGAAACTTTGAATGTATGTTCATAATCCAAATCCCCACGTATTTATTGAAGCAACAAAATTTTGAATGCTTGAATCATAAACTAAAATAGAGAATTAAATATAAAAAAAAGCCTAGCTAGCAGCAGAGTTTGAATTTAATGGAATCCAAGAAATGAAGAAGGGTTTTCTAAATGTTGGATCTTGAATCTGCATCAGCATCCTCCATATAATTTTTCCAGACAGGATGTTTCTTCCAGACTCTGTCAACCATGGCATCAATAGGAACACCCTTTGTCTCTGGCAAAAGGAAGATTGTGAATAATCCCATCACAAAAATCCAAGCAGCGAAGAAGAAGAAGATAAAAGCTCGCATATGACACATCATCGACAAGAATGCTTGAGCTATAATGAAGGTGAAGAGCATGTTAGAGCTGACTGCAAATGCAAACCCTGCAGTTCTTGTTTCCAGAGGGAATGTCTCACTAGGTATCAGCCAACCAAGGGGACCCCAAGACCAAGCAAATGCCATTACAAACAGACACACGAGAACCACCACCAACCATGCTTCTGATTTCGATAGCGAATTCGTAGCTTTCAGATTTACCAGAAGAATAACTCCAATCGCACTCTGCACAGTTTAATTACTCGTTATATTCATGTGTCTATCAATCAACTCATATCTGTAATACATAAACAAAAAGGTATACCTGGCTGATAAACATTTGTACACAGGCTTGGAGAAGTAATTTCCTCCTACCAGCCTTGTCAACAGCATAAATGGAGACTAAAGTGCTAAACACATTGACAAGTCCGGTAATAACAGATGACAACAGCGAAGCATCGTTCTTGAATCCAACAGTTTGGAAGAGCACAGGTGCGTAGAACATAATTGCATTGATCCCTGTAAACTGTTGAAACACTTGAAGACAGATACCGATAATCAATGGTGGTCTGTTAGATCGATTCATTAGATTCTTAAATGGGTGCTTGACCTGTCTTGCAATGTCGCAAGCTGTCTTGATTTGCTTGAATTCTACATCTACTTCTTGGACGCCTCTGATCTTCTTGAGTGCTTTTATGCCTGCTTCCTCTTTTCCATGCTCCACCAGGCTCGTGGGTGTTTCAGTGATCACCAACGAGCCAATGAAGAGGAAGATGGCTGGCACACCGGCCAGTCCTAGAGACAATCTCCATCCATATGGGTGCATGTTTGAGGTTGCGTAGTTCACAAGATTAGCTATGAATATTCCTATAGTTACAAATAATTGGAACAGAATGTTCACTGCTCCACGGCTAGTAACTGGAGCTATCTCGGACAAAAACAAAGGAACAGACTGCAAAACATATCAATGGTAAATCATTTGTTGGATCATCAACACATGAAACATACATATATATATATGTATAGATAGATATACCTCATTGCCAAATCCAACTCCCAAACCCAGAAAAATCCTGCCTGAAATGAGGAGGAAAAGGTTATGAGCAGCAGCACTTAAGGCAGCTCCGAGCAGGAAAAAGCACGAGGCTACGAAGATGGTAGGCCTTCGACCGAATGTTGAGCAGACTTTTGAGGCGGCGAAACTTGAAAAGAGAGCAGCCAGGTAGAGTGAAGAAGTAAAAAGCTGAAGATACTGGTTGTCGTATTTACAGTAATTATCTTCTTTAGCATGAAGCTTTTTCTCATATACAGAAGGGAAGAATTTTATCAGGAAATCAGTCATGGCGGTTACCCCTCCTGTACTCATCACATGTAATGAATCATAAGAGAACTTCCACTGTTATTGATCCAGATAGGAAGGAAAATGTTTGCAATCATTTTCAAAATTTTTTTTTTCCATAAAAATTTCATTAAGTAATAAATACACATGGATCATAATATAATTTTTTAACGAATATCAATTACATTACAATCAATTAATAAGAATGCACGAGATAATTTGATTAGAGATGAAAATACGATCTCATATATTAAGTAGGTATAATTTGATTGAAGAACAAAATTTAACAACAAAATTCCTTTGTTTATTTCAAATAAAACCTTAGTCTAAATAGTATCTCTATTACCACATTACAAAATGGATTCATGCATGAATTTATGCAAAAACTTAACAAATAATTTCAACTTTAAAACAATGTAAACCTGGTTTTTTACTATTTTAATTTTCATAAAACGATAAGTTAATTAACAATACAGTCTGATAATCAGTTTAATCACATCCGATAATAAAAGAGAAGAAACCTGAAATTCCAATGTCATAACCAAACATAAGACCCCCGAAGGCAGCAAGAATCCAACATATCACCACATAAACGGTGCGTTTTGATGGAAAATCCTCTGACTCATAACTCATTTCTTTCTCTTCTTCTTCTTCTTCTTCTTCTTCTCCTTCTTCTCCTTCTTACTGGGATCTGCTTCTCCAATGCTTTAAAGTTGAGAAACCGAAAATAAAGAGGAGAGAGAAAGACATTATTTGTATTAAATTAAATTAAATTAAATTTCTTAAGATGTAAAGTTGATTGGTAAAATCCTAAATTACTTAAAAGACGTTGCAAATTATGAGCAGAGACGGTCAACAGTCATTCAAAACATTTTACTCAATCTGTCCATTAAATTTTCATTTGTGATATTTTCCAAAACCATTTGTTATTCTTTCTTCATATATAATATATGCCAGCTTCTCCATTATATTTTTATATTCTCCTGCATTTTATATTATCTTCCCTACTCCTTTTCACTAATTATGCAGGAATAAATTCAAAATCTTCTTAAATGGAATTCTTGATCCAGTATAAATATATAATCTTCCTCATCACTATCACCATAATATTCACCCCAATTTTGTAAAATTCTCCTTTATGTTCTCCACCTCTTAACTTTTTGTATGTAAATCGAAGGGGGTTTAATATCTAACTTCACTACTATCATTCATGATGCTTGGTTCTTCAATTCATGGTGGATTCAAAATTTTTTTATACTCACTTGATTTAATATTACTGTAACTTGATCATTCTTATACATTCTTCTCAGATAAAAATCTAATCGTTTCGTAGATGAAGCACAATATTATCATGTTCTTATGGGTTCGTATTCTTTATTATTCTACTATTTATTTTATATTTTCTCGTGATAATATAATTATTAGTGTATTCCTCAATTTTATTATTAATACTCCTAAAAAAAATTTAAACTAAGTCACTATCTTTTCATTTTAACACAATAAATTAACGCCAAAAAGAGTAAATTATATGAATTTATCTTGTTAATGAAACTTATAAAAAACAAAAAGTTGGGCCATACATGGGAGAGCATATTTATATAAAATGATATAAAAACAATCAATCTTCATCTTGGCCGTCAACAAAATATCTCTTCCAGAACCAGTGTTTTTTCCAGACCTTCTCACGCATGGCGTCAATGGGAACACCCTTGGTTTCTGGTATAAAGAAATATGCAAACAGACCCATCACCACAATCCAACCCACGAAGAAGAAGAAGATTCCGGCCTGCATGCTGCACAGCATCGACAAGAAAGCCTGCGCAATCAAAAATGTAAAGAACATGTTGCAGCACACCGCTAATGCAAATCCTGAAGTTCTCGTCTCCACCGGGAAAGTCTCGCTCGGAATCAGCCAACCCAGCGGCCCCCATGACCATGCAAATCCCATCACGAAAGCACACACGCAGATTACCACGATAATTGCCTCTGCTTTATCAAGTGACCCAAGTGGTTTCAAGTCCTTCAATAGAATCACTCCGATGATACCCTGTTTGGAAAAGAAAAAGACGTTTGAGATAAGATTTAACTCTGATGAAGAAGATTTTGACTATGATAATGATTATGATGAAGAACCTGGGCAATGAACATATGAACAGAGGATTCCAGAAGTAGAATTCTCCTTCCTGCTCTGTCAACCAGGTAAACACCAACGAATGTGCTCAGCACGTTGATACTTCCTGTAACAACAGAAGACAGCAATGAAGCGTCGTTTCCAAAACCAACAGTCTGAAACAACACAGGAGCGTAGAACATAATGGCGTTGATGCCGGTGAACTGTTGGAAAAGTTGGAGTAGCATTCCGATCACCAATGGAGGTCTACTGGCAGGGCTAAATAGTTTTCTATAAGGATCTTTGATCTGCCTTGCTGAATCACATGCTTGAACAATTGAATCGAATTCGAGATCGACATTTGCTACACCACGAATCTTTTTTAGAACTTTCTTGCCTTGATCCAGTTTCTGGCGCTCCACTAAGCTTGTGGGTGTCTCACAAATGGCTAAAGAACCCACACCGAGAATGAAGGCAGGAACACTGATTAGACCTAAAGCCAACCTCCAGCCATTAGGATGAATGTTGGAGCAGAAAAAGTTAACCAGATTGGCTATCAAGATTCCTATGGTTACAAATAATTGAAAGCAGATGTTGAGACCCCCTCTGAGCCTTGCCGGTGCAATCTCTGAAAGAAACAGAGGAACAGCCTGCAAAAAATCATCAAATCAATTTCAATAAAACCCTTCAGTTTAAAAAACTTAAAAAAGGAGAATTGTAATTGTGATTACTTGATTCCCAAATCCAACTCCGAACCCGAGAATAATTCTACCAAGGATAAGCATCCACAAATGTTGAGCACCAGCAGTTAATCCAACTCCAACCAAAGAGAAAAGAGAGGCTAATTGCATTGTGGCTTTCCGGCCAAGCTTTGAGCAAGACTTAGAAGCAATGAGACTGGCAACAAGAGCAGCTAAGTACAAAGAAGATGTGAAGAGCTGGAGTAATTGATTGTCATATTTGCAGTAATTATTTTCAAAGGCCACCTTCTTTCTCTCATATACTACTGGGAAGAACTCTTTCAAGAAGTCATCCATGGCTGTCACCCCACCTGACAGATTCACCAGTTGAAAAAAAAATGAATACATTCTCAAAAACATACATATTTACGTATATATCTAGAAAATTCTGACCTGAAATTCCAATATCATAGCCAAAAGTGAAGCCACCAAAGGCAGAAATAAGGACACAAACTAGGACATAGATGGTAACCTTGCCCTCAAACTCTGGGGCATCTTGAGAAGTGATGACAACTGCAGGCATGTTGGAGATATATAAATCTCCTGGTGTATGTAACTGGGTTTAAGTAGTAAAATGTGAATCAGCATACACGGGAAGCTCAGATTTGAGATGGAGCAGATGAATACAAAGCAAGTTAAAAGATCCGAAGTACAAGAGACAGGACAAACTGCGAAGAGAAAAGACCTGTAAGGATGTGTTAGAGAGAAGGGATTAATATAAATAAAAAGCAGACCAAGTCGAATAGAGATAAATGCTAAAAACGGAAATTGAACTAAAAATAGAATAAAGAAACTAGAGCCCCATGTATAGCGCTTTCCCAGCAGTTTTCTAGTGCCTATTTTGTTTTTCTCGGCTGTTTATCTCCCTCAGATATGAAAAGGTTAACGAATTTATCCTTAACAAAATCCAACAAAAGTATGAGTTTGCTCTTCTCTACTTGCCAACTTTCTCTCCCTCTTCAAACTTACACCCATAAGTAGGTTAAAGTTTCGGTTGGAATTTTATTGGATAACTACAAATTTGCTATTAAAATCTAAATATTTTGTTTTATGTATATTTTTTTATTGGCTTCCTTTTTAATTATTCCAGTAATACTGTTAATTTTGGTATAACGAAATATGGAAAATTAACAAATAAATTTGTAGTATGTCATGTCATGAATATAAGTAAATTTAGCACCAAAAAAACATTACAAATTTTTTATTTTTTATTTAGTTGTATAAATAATTTAATCCAATTTATCTATATTATTTGCATAAAAAAAAAATATAATTCAATTCAAAAAATTCAACACTTTTAATATTCATTTATTTACTAAATTATTTATTATAAGTTAATGTAAAATAAATTTTTTTTTTTTTGTGTAATTAAAATTTAAGTATCACTTATTTTGATAAATGACAAAGCATGTTATGTTTGTTTTTGTTTGTATGACATACTACATACATGTTCTAGTACATTAAACAAAACAAAATCGATTACTAGAAGCGCTCATCTCTGCAAATGTTAGGTTTCGTATATATTTAGCTCATTTTCTTCTTAGCATTTGAATTCCAACTCCTTTTTTTTTAATATAATTTCATTCTTTCACTTGAATCGAGTATTTTTAAGCCCAATCTCCCACCCACAAATAAATGTGTCCATATTTATAATGTCCATATAATTAGCTGCCCGGATACAGTACATGTATATATATGTATATATATATGTACATATATATACATGTACACAAAACACATAAACCTTCTCTCAAATGACTGAAACACGTCAAAAAACAACATTCAATTGCAACCTACTCTTTTGAACCAAACTTCTGGAACATATATAATAAATACCTTAACCATAATTATTCTGTTATAAAATTAAAAGCTCCATTAATTCCAAACTGTTGACACTAATTCATCTGAAGATTTGATATAATACAAAATTCTATGTGTGGTTCATGACAACCCCGCATTCTAAGGGGTTAGCAGTTAATGAAGCCTCCGTAGCCTATGATGATTTTATGGTGATAAACAAAAAAGAATATTATTCTCTGCACAAAGAATAGATTATGTGATAAGGAATTGATCTTCAAGGAATATCAGATAAATGCATTAATACGTTAATGATCTTCTAGCCCAGAAAACCATTTAGAAGAGGCCGCTCTGCATCTGAATTCCTCGAGAACATTCCTCTATTGCAGTGTGAACCACTGCCATCAGAAAATTTAAGGGATCAAAAAGATTACAAATGAA